GTAGTTTCAGATTCCTGAACATTTGATTTCGTTCAAAAACTCAACTACTATCCAATTATCATCAACATCTACAACTGCTTCTGCTTGGCACGAAGAATCAGAACTCAACTACTCCTTTTCATCACCAAGAATGAGGGACAGAATAAATTCATTTATCATTTCAACTACTTCGAGAGTTGGTACCAATACTGCTCTATCCTCAAAAAAAAGAATAATTTTTCATATTCTCAAACATAAGTCATTTTCCAATATAAGACTTAAACTTTTTCAAATTTTTCATTTTTCAAATTTTTCATTTTTCATTTTTCAAACTTTTTCCCAATATAATTTTTCAAATTTTTCATTTTTCATATCTGCACTAAATAGCACTAAAACAAAAGTCATTTTCCAATATAAGATCATACTTAAACTTTTTATCCCTTAAAAAAACACTTAACAATGTCTAAAAAGAGAAATAATATCATGTGACGGTGAACATTTATCTAAATAATGACTAATAGATAATGACTAAACCTGCTACATTGGGAAATAAAAAACATATCCTGCTATCTAGAGAAAGTCATTATATTTTAGTGTTATTTAAGTAAATTCATCCGACTATGAATATATATATATATATATATATATATATATATATATATGGGCTGGTTCATGTGAGAATGCACCTTGGTGAAAGAAATAAAAATAAAATCTAGCCTTTGGATCGGATGCATTGTGCGGCTCAGATTGCATCCTGCACTCAGATTTTGAGATATTGCATTTTCAAAGGATTTTGGTGCATTTCGACATAACGCATTTTCAAACCATTTTGATGCACCAAATTTTGATGCAATCTTGACCCTTAGATCTCACAATCCAAAGGACCATATTCATTCTTATTTCTTTCATAAGATCGCATTCTCACATGAACCAAAATCTATATATTATATATATATATATATATACATACACACACACACACACACACACAAAATTCTGGTCACTAATATATCCCGTTTGATTTTGTTATTATAAAAAATTCAAAAATGTTATGTATCAAATTACCTTAAAACAATAAAAAAAATTAAATATATTAAGACAAAACAACATTTAAAGTAATTTAAGTTAAATGAAAATTCTATTGTATTTAGGTTAAATGAAAATTATTATATTTCTTTTTAAGTTAATATATGTAGCATGGTTCTAAAATTCTATTTAAGTTAAATGAAAATTATTATATTTCTTTTTTATGTTTTAAATAACATTTATATTTTTCGTATTTATTTTTAATTGTTTATATTATAATCGTGATAGGAGTTCGTATTGTTGTAATATGAAAACATATATTAACATATAACATTATTGATTATCCAAGACACATAGTTAAAGATTTCCATATATAAGTAAACGGATCCAAAATAATATAAGTATTATCCAACATACATAATATAAGTAAGGTGATGAGTAATATACTCGTGATCATCATTTTCAAATTTAGTAGTATTTAGGATTGTTTCTTAATAATCTTTTTTTTTAAAAATAATATTCTAATTTCCATTAATATAGGTTCTCTATTAATTTTAACTCTTATTATACATGAATTTCCACAATAAACTTTTGTAACTTATTAATTTAAGTATGTAATTTTTAAATATGGAAGTAAGATAAAGGATTAATATATGTAGCATGGTCCTAAAATTCTATTTAAATTAAATGAAAAATATTATATTTATTTTTTAAATAGTATTTATATTTTTTCATATTTATTATTAATTATTTTATAATATCATCATAATAGGTGTTCATATTGTTGTAATCTGAAGGAAAGAATTTCGTTGAATGCTAGTGATTATCGCGTAGAAAATCTGCGGTCAATTATTTTCAACGGGAGATCCACTGGTGCATCGTATATAATTTATTTCCGCTGGTTTACTCGGATATTACGTGGCGTGCTGACATGTTTATATTTTGCTACATAGACATGCCAAATGTCGAATTTTTGTGCATCCGAGTCTCCTTTATTATATTAAAGGATTCCTAAATTTCCTAAATCATTGTCTCATTTTCTAGAAGCAGCCGTTTTTTTCTTTCTATTTTTCTAAAGTTGGATGGCTATTTCAAGTACAAATTCCGCTGATTTTCCTCTTTTTAAAACATTTTCTCCTGATTGAATTTGGAAAATGGGTTGGTGATGAATACATTATTAACCGCGTACTCGTTTTACCTTTTCACACTATATACGCTTTTGGTTCCGATCTGGTATCAATTCTAATATCCTATTGAAAGGCAAATTTTTATATCGTCTTTAGGCCCACATTTGTTTTATGGACTTTAATACATAAACATCGTGAAGGAGCTAAATTTATTGCAAAAAGAAAAGTCTACATATAACTTAATAATGAAAATTGTGAAAAAGTCCACATTTCACATATGACCACAGAAGCACACAACTCGTATTGAGAATGATTGATTGTAGAATTCGAATAGGAATAAAAGATGAGGGGTGTGTTTCTGGTTCTTATATTTCCGAAATGAAATCAGCGGTTCCAGTTACGATATTTATTTGTTTAATTGTACTACCCCGTGGTATATTTATATTATTAAAAAATACGTTTCGAAACCAAAACTAGCTAGAGGTGAAATCGAAGTAGAACCTTACCAATCCATAAAGGTTGAGGTTTTGGTTCCAACATTTTACTAATAAAATCAGAAATTAGATTGTGTCCACTATGGACTTGGGAGTGTATGGAGGAGGGTTAGAAAGTAGGAACCATTAGTTTTTCGATCGTAGCACTTCAATTATGTGCTCTAATTGAAATGTTATCGTATGAGATTGAAACTCAATGTCAAAAGATCTTTACCGCATTAATATACAATCCATATGATGTACTCTGAAAGAAATGAGAATGTATACGATCCACTAGATGTGCTTTTTATGTGCTACTGGTTTTGATTTTGACATTGGTGATATTGTACTTGTTCGTGTGGATGTTTTACTTTGCATCTAAATATTTGTTTCTTTTTTATTTTTTTTCCACGGAGACGCGGGATAAAAATTGTTACTGAAGTTTCTAGTGTTCCTGAATTTGATGAAAGAAAATTGTCTGGAATGTCAAACTCTAGCTATACTACTGCCAATTAATATAGCTACATACTAGCAAAAGCATGATTCAATCACTTATTTATGAAGTTGTTTCAGGACAGAAGATAATTTTGCCGATGCTAATTCAGACAAATAGTTGTTACTTTCTGGCCTTAAAAGTTTAAATTATACTTGTGTGTTAGAATGAAGTCCATAGAACATTTGAATTTGATAGGGTAATGATTTATGTAAAAAATTAAAAATTATGTTATTTTATTCTTTTAAGGATGGGTATTCGATGTTTTTTTGTGCTTTGCGTTTTAAGTAACGAATTATTTAGAATAGTGTGTGTGCTAGTACTATTGAAATAGATATTTTAAAATGATATTTTTTAAAAAATAAAATTGACTTTACACAGCAGATAAATATCTACTATGTAAACTATACCATTTTTTAAACACCCTTTCACTGCGAATAAATAAATATCTGCTGCTATAAAGCATAACATGTTTTAGGTACCCTTACACAGTGGATAAATATCCATTGTGTAATCATGCGCGTTTTTTCACTACCATTACATAGCGGATATTTATTCACTGTGTAAACATAACATCTTTCCCACCGGCCACATACATATCGGTTGGATTCCGCTGGGAAAGGTCAAATGTATCCGTTGTGTGTTCCCTGTTTTGTAGTAGTGTGGCCGTTGAACGTTACCACCTTCTTGCATGTCGCCCATGGCTAAGATCTACTAAAGCTAGTAATTTAAGCTTGACTGGCTCCGATACCAATTGAAATCTCGCATGGGTATAGAAATTACCCAAACAAAGTTAATTTGTCATGGTGTTTGTCACTTGAATATTTTGTTTTTTTCAATTATCAAAACATGTGACTCAACACTTAATTGAAAAAAATGGTTGAACACATGTATTCCAACAATATCAAAATAAATAATTAGGCATGAAAATATGATAACCACTCTTTTGAGAGTCTTACGGTGGTTCATTACGCTTGGAGATTGGGTTTAGGTTGATCCATGTTCGAGCAAAAGTTATAACATACACTCGTTTGTATGAGAAAAATCGTATAATTGGTGTTAGTTTGCATAATCACGATGGTAGAACCGATCAACAAATTTAAACCCTGAGAGAGAGAGAGTGTGTGTGCATGTCAATCCACCAAGAGAGAGAGAGAGTGTGTGTGTGTGTGTCGATGGTAGAGTCGATCGACAAAGAGTGCCACGACGTCAAGCGCATAGAGAGAAGTTGGTGGAAGAAGCTAATGGGCTGGAGTTGAGTTTTGCAGCACCGCTGGAAAATTAGAACCCTTGTTGCAATAAAGATGAAGATGAAGTTGGTGGAGATGGTGGTGGTGGTGATATTGTGAGTATTTTAAATGAACAATAATTTACTTGTAAATGAATATTTATATAATTGTAATTAACATTATATTTGTTTTATGAAAATGAGTATCGTATTTCGCACTAATAAACATTTGATGGATATAGAACAAAAATAAAAAGTAGTCAAAATGAACATTCTATTGCTTAAAATGAGTATAGTTGGTTGAGCTAGATACAACCGATTGTACCATATAGATACTCATGCTGGACGGGAGGGGGTTGCTGCTCGCCAAAGGGCCAGAAAGCTTCAAAGGGCGGATGTTCACGTCTCCAAGGCTGTAGAGGGGGGGGGGGAGGCTGAGGTGGGGTTTGTGGGTGATTTTGGTTGATGGAAAATCTACCAAAATTCAAATATATCTACATAAATGATTTTGAGACACAAACCCCAATGATTTTGAGACATAAATGATTTTGGGATTTCCTAATTGTCAGGAAACCAACTCACCCAAAAACTCTAGCTCGTGGTTATTATAGCCACATGAAAAAATATTATATTCTAACATGTCTACTCAGATATGGTCGCTTCGAGCCACGCACACGTGAGAAAGCCCTTTTTTTTAACTAGGTAGCAGTAGAGTTTAAACTCGTGACCTCTTGGTCACCAAAGCTTTGATACCATGTCAAAGAATCAATTCAATCAAAAGCTCAAGTTTGTTGTTGTAGGCCCATGAAATAGTTTTATATTCTAACAATGATCTAATGAATAGAATATGAGCGGGTGCAAACCACCTCAAGGGCTTGTGTGAACAAGGCAGAGAAACTTGTCATGGCCTGGAACACCCCTGGCAAACCAGTCTGAATGTTGTGTAGGGTCATGGCCCTAGTGACTTCCACCTCCTTGGAGTGTTTCAACATCTCATCTTCCACCCTACGCTGGCAAGAAGCCAGTTCTGCTTTTTTCTCAGCCAAAGGGTCTCGTGCGTCCAGTGCAGAGCTGCCACTGTCAGGGAGACTGATCCCGACCATGGAGTACGAATGGTAATACTTCTTCTCAATCCTCCTCAGACTTGAAGCTTTTCTCTCCAGCTCTTTTGATGCAGACTCGGTTCGCTTCTTGATCTTGATCTCTTCGGTCTGCTTCAAGAATATCGAGTGGACGATGTTTATGAAGCTTTTGATGGCTTCGGAAGCTACAGTGTCCGGGACACGGTCAAGGGCGAGCTTCCACTCATCAAAGAAGGAAAATGCCTCTGAAGTATGATTGGTGCTGCCGGTGGTGGTGGGCTCCACTAGGGTCAGCCTGAACCAGCCATGAAGGGAGCAGATGAAATCGCGTTGGAACTTTATAAGGCGACAGAAACTTGAGTGCCATGCAGTTACAGCAGACTCAAGGTCTCGTGTTGCCTGCCGATGAAGATCAGAAGTTGATTGACCTTTGTCTGCTCTGTTGTTGACCAGTCCTCGGACCTGCTGAACAATGTCATTCTGAGCTTCATGGAACTCATTCATGTATCTCCACATGTACATAAATCTGCACTATGCATTATGAGAAAATGAATGTTTTTTTTTTCAGAATGTAAATGGTAAATTGTGAATGATTCGGGCTGAAATTGTACTGCACAATAATCTTGTCTAACTCGGTGCCAATATTTGTCTAAATGCCATATCACGATGTGAAACTGATATTTACAATAGTGACGAAAAATGCACACAATTAACTCTTCAGTCATGACTCATGACCAAGCACCAAGAGTATTTTTAAAAAAACTTCAGAATAACAGTTCAAATGCAAATCAAGTCCAAAAGAAAGGTAGTAGTTCATTATTAAAATATGAGACTGGCAAATCGGGGAAGAAAGAATTTGGTAGCCAGTGTGGCGATAATTCTACAATTCAGAAAATACTTTTAAATTCGATTAAAAGATTCATTTTCCCATGGCAAGTTGATATTCTTAGAGAAAATGACTGTCTTTACCCATTTGAATAAACCGTGTTGAAGTATTAAAATGCTGCAAAAATAGTGTATGGAGTCAAGATGTACGCAACCTTACCCTTGTGAGAAACAAAAACACTCCCTAATTTTTTAAAAACAAGCACACCCAAGATAATACTTACCCATGACAGAGTTCAACAAGCTGTGGAACAAGATCAGAGTCTCTTAGACCAACAATAGCAGAAGAGGTAGTCGAGACAGCCTGTGATGTGACCACAATTAAGGATTGCAGTCTTGTTATTGAAGCCTTGGTTTTGTCCATTTTGCCCCTGTCCTTCCCTCTGTACTCCTGACATTGTAGTGCTCTTAACTTCTTTTCATGCTCAATTTTCACTCCTTCTCTGGCCTGCATGCATGAACAAGACTTACATAAATACCTAAAAATTAGAGAATACTCCCTCCATCCCCCCAAAAAAAACTTATTTCTTTTTTTGGGACATCCCAAAGAAAGCATCCTCTTTCCTTTTTGGAAAATTTTGAGTCGCTCACAATCTTTGTCTCTCGTGTGCATCACTTTCAACCACACATTTTCACTTTCCTTAAACTTTATGTCAAGTCAAACTAAGAACCTTTTTTTTTGGACGGAGGGAGTATAAGGAGTATCCAAGGGAAAGTGCTGTAAATGCTTTCCTGAGGAACTCGTCATTTATTCAACTCACTACAATTGCAACAAGAGGGAACTATCTCACAAAAGGGAAAGCGAAGATGACATAGGAAAGTTAAAGGTTCCTAAGGACATCTCTTTTGTTCCTACAAATTATATGCTGCAAAAGAAGTACCCATTACGTAACTTGATCAACCCATATGCCCAACCTATTCAACAAAATGAGAATACTTCACAATGTTTATTTTGAACACCACTTTTTTAGCTAGACATGATTCAGGACGGCATTCCCAGTTTCATTCGCAGTAATAACATTTCAGAAAGGCCATGATCAAATAAACAAAACTGAAGAGTAATAACACATTACTCTGACTCCTACCTGTCTATTCCTTACAAGGTTTTATCATTGTTAGGCACAAATTGCAGCGAGAATTAGAACGGAAGACCTCCCTGTGCTCAATATCAACATCATAACATCATAATAGATTGTCGTTACAATATCAAAGAAACATCAGCAATCTTGTCATTCCACTACAACTGAACTCATTAGACCCAAAAAAGTTGGACTGTCAAAAGGCTCAAAAATGCTCAGAGATAATCATCCAAAACCTGATTTACGCACCTCCACCATCTTTGACATAATTGCATTACAAGATTCCGGGAATTCAAAACAATTTTCCATTTATAATGATGACATTTTATAGCAAAGATAATTCCAAGGATACCAGTATTGTTAGCGGCATATGGTCAAAATTTTGCCCAGTGTGTGAGAATTAGGCCATTTGAAAAAGAGAAAATATCGAGAAAATCAAGATCAACATGAGTACCTTCACCTCCTGATAAAGTTTCTTTTCCCAAGCCAATAGACGTTCCAATGTGGAACAAAGACTCTTAGAACCGTCCACTCCCATGATTGAACTGGGCTCAAACTTGTACTTGACTGCCAATGGAGGCTTTGAGCTCCAGCTTGAACTCAAGTTGCTCAGAACACCACTTGAATGGTAAATTGTCTCTGCAACGCTCACAATCAACTTCAGCAATACAATTTTACAGCAACATTAATATCCTACTCCAAAAAGAGGTCAGCAAAAACAATTCTTGAAATGCTAATTGCTAAACAAACAATATAAAAACTTAGTGTTAGATGAGAAAACCAGGAAATTTTCACTAACGAAGTCTGCAGTATGTGTCTAAACATCCAAGAACTGAACTCACTCTTCAACTGCCTAAAGCTTTGGTCCAATTGTGCACGGCCTGTCTCCAGCATCTCAGATGCCTGCTCTCCGGCAGAAGCAGCATTGTCAAAGTACTCTTTGATGGCAGCCACAATCTCAGCAAGATCCGTGTGCCTTACAACTATTCTTGTATCAGAGATCATTTCCCCGTTGGCAGTCTCATAGCCCCAGCTCATTGAGGAGGACCTTCCGTCGTCTGTTTCACATTTCCTGGCAGACCCATTGATTGAGTTCCACCTCATCTGGGCAGGAGAAGCCTCATTCTTCGCTGATGCGCAACCAAAATTTGACCGTTTTGCCCCAATCTCAGACCTCAAATCCTCTTTCTCTCCTTCCTCAATGTCGGACGAGCTCGTAGTACTATAGTGATCATGGTCATCCCACTCGCTGCACTCTACTACTTCCCTCTCTGCTTCGCTATCCCAATTAGTGTGTTGGTGATGGTGCTGGCCATGCTCTATATGTTCCCTTGATAGAACCGGATCTTGAGCCCGAAATTTCCCATTCGAGTAGTGAGAGTGTGATGAATAATTAGAAGCCTTCTCGTCCTCAGTGCTCTGGGTATGTAAAAATTCAAATCGTTTATGATGATAATCCTTGTTAGAAACTCCTTGTGAGTACTGAGAATGAGAAGATGACCTATCAGCATCAAACCCATCATCATTGTTGTTCTTCTGAAGCTGTTCGAAGTACTCGGAACTTGGGGGTGAAGGAGGGTAGAAATTTTCCCAGTTCCAAACGGATGAGGCTTGCGAAGGAGTTCGAGAATAGGTTGAATTGGCTTTCGCGTTGTACGTGTAATTGCGTTTCTCGAATGGATTGTGAGCTTTAGGCGTGGACGAGAGGCTTGACTCTGAAAGGATGTGAGGGAGTTTGACGGGGTTTAGCGGGTGTGGTGGTTGGCGGCGGTGTTGGCGCTGGGAGGAGATGGATGGGGCGGCGGAGAGGATGTGGGGAAGTTTGGAGGAGGCGATGGTGGGAGAATCTGAATAGGAGAATTGACGCGGCTGAGGAGTACGAATGGACGGAGGTGGTTGGTGGATCTTAATCGGAGGCGGCGGAAGAGGCGTTTTGAAGTTGGATGCCGAGGGAGTACGGAGAACCACAGCAGGGGACTGGTCGGAGACGGCGAGATACTCGCCGGAGGCGAAAGTCGTGAGGGCGGAACCAGTGAGCCGGAGGGAGCGGCAGTAATCAGAATGAGCGGAAGCGAGGTGGTGCCGAGCATAGACGGCCTCCTTCATCAAGCGCCGCCGCTCCCTGCACCGCCGCACGGTTTCGTCGTTATGCAGCTTCGAAGCTGCGCAACCCATTTTCTTCTAACAAGTAAACAAAGACGAGGAGGTGGTGTGCCTCCGCCGTGGAGGGCGCGGATGCGGCAGAGACTGCCGGAAAGCTAAAGAATGTGGCGGAGGAGATGGTGGTTGGCGGCGGAGGGGATGTCCTTGGCACTCCCGTCCGAGCAATGGAGCTCCAACAGTTGTCTTCTGGGCTTTTCTTTACTCGATCGCAGCATTTACAGCCACAGGTCACCCAGTTTGGAGCTGTAGTGCTTTTTGCTGCTGCATTGCTGTAGTGCTCATTTCACTATTTCCATGTTGCACTTATAAATCTAAGACCACTAGAAATACTCTCTAAGACCACAGGTCACCCAGTGCTTTTTTCCCTGCCACGTCAGTTTTATCTTACTTCATAGATTCACTGGATATGGATTTGAAGCCCCGAGGCTTCAAACTGGGGCTTCAAACCTTCATTTTTTTTATATTTTTAAATATACATCTTCTAAAACTAAATTAATAAAATGTAATTAATTTATTATTTAATTATATTGAAACAAGAATAATAAAAAAATACATTCATTAAATTTAAATAAATTGAAATGACAGTAATTTAAAACAAAAAAAACGACAATAATAAAAAAGATACATTAATAAAAAAACTAAGTTAATTATATTTCGCCTTGATTTTTCTTTGTCTTTGCTCGTAGATCATCCGTTTGAAACCCGATAACGTAGAAAGGTCAGTTTCCATGATTTTGATCTCGTCCCCCTGCTCCTTTCGCTTCATCTCCTGCTCCTTTAGCTTCATCCTCTCTTCTTCTCGAAGATTGAACACCCGAAGTTGTTCAACCATTGCCCGACCGATTTCGTCGCGAGAAGAAACGGAAACAGAGCCGGACCCTCCCGAACCCGAGGCAATGGATTTTGCCTTCTTTCTTCCGATCGTCCGTGGAATGGGGTCCTCGTCATCGGAATCCGCAACGTTGAAGGGAGGCATTTTTTCGGACGAACCGATAGTGTCGTCGACCTCAACCTCGGCGTCAACGGAGGATCTTTTCTTTGACGATCCGTCGTCGGGATTGTTGAGTTGTTGCCACTTCGGGGAACGGCTCAAAATCCTCCAAAGATCGATGGGCACCTTGCCTTGGTGCCCGTCATCTTGATACCGGGTCGTGTCAAGCCGGAGAACATCAGCATCGTTCGTCCCGCTCCTCCAGGACCGGGCGCATTCCTCGTAAACTCCGATAAACTTTCGGACTTTACGGTTGATGTGGCTTCATTTGGAAGTGAGTTGGTCCCGGGTACGGTAGGAGCCGTCCTTGTTCATCGCCGTGAAGAACTTCTCCTCGATACGATCCCACATGCATCCTTCGTTTGCTCCGAACCTTTAAAAAAGTATAACACGAAAATTTTTTATGACACAATTAAATATAATTTTATATAAATAAAAACATATATATAATAGAAAACATATAATTTTTACCAACGATAGGATGCTCGGAGACGTCAACCCAAGCTGATGCCAATAAGCACTTTTCCTCCGGCGTCCACTTTTGGATTGACCGTGCCGCCTCGGTCATCGTGCCTTTTGCTTTGTGGCTTTTCCAACGTGTACTTTTTTTGGAGCCGGATGGTCCCGGTTGAGTCTCCGGAACCGAATCTCGCTCGACGTACCCCGATTGTTGCGTCTGGAACATCGGCGGGTGATTCCCGTATTCTTGGAAATACCACATCGCAGACTCGTGAGGCTCGAGATTGTCGGGAAAGAAGCCAGAGCCGGAAGGATTCATGTTCAAAAGAGAGGGAGGGGAGTTTGAAATTGAAGAATGTGTGAAGAAGATTGAAGGTGTGAGAATGAAGGGGGGGGGGAGTTTGAAATTTATAAAAAAAATTAAATTTTTTTTTTTTTGGTTTCAACGGCCAAATTAGCCGTTAGGGAGGAGAGGAAGATGCGTCAAACCAATGACGCCGACCCTCATCACGCCCGGATGAAGCCGATGGGGGGCGGTGTTTAACGCCCCCCGACGTTAAAACCGGCAATCACGCCGGTGGGCGTGATGGGTATTACCAATGCTGTAACCTTTTCCCAAACTTAAAAACACTTTTATTATTTTGACAACAATTCTTGTTGTCATATTAGACCATGTGTTGTGGACTTGATCTTGAGAGCGTGAATCACGGCATTAAGGCGTGACCATGGCGATATCGCTGACCTGATGAAAGCGTGACAAATTGGACTACAGAGTGGTCATGAGATTGTCTCTCTCAAAAGGTCTCTCTCAAAAGGCGCGCTGGTCATTGCCAACAATAAAGAAAGAGCCGATGGCTCTATTTTTCAAAAAAAGAATTGCATATTCGTGTATATATATATATATATATATAATTACTCTAAAAAAAATTATTTCTTCAATACTATTATTTCATAGTGACTAGGTAACTTAATATGAAAGCCAACCATAATTTATCTAAAAGATGCCTTGACTAAATACGTTAACTATTCTAGGACGCACTTCCGAAGAACTCAATGATATATTGTTTTCTATGAGACAAAAGAGCTTTAGTATACAAGGATTGAGTATTCCACTCGAGCACATACATTATTGTATTTTGGGAGGAAAATTGTATTAGAAGAAGATGAACACCTACCAATGCGTAAGATATGCGAGAAGTCTCGTTACAAGGGGATTACGAGGATTATTATGTTATTGTAACCGATAGAGAAAATATGGTTAAAGCTTGAGTACCCAATACTAAATCTAATAAGTGATGTGTTTTGTTCAAATACATATTGATGGTTTGATTCTCGACCTCGTTAGGTAACTAGAAATCACGACCACTACAATATAGCTGAGGTTATAAAAACATGTCTTCAACATATACAAATCTTATACCCTTACATGAGGTCATCCGGTTGCATATATAGATTTTCGATATGTGCTTAAGAAAAAAGAAACTAGCTTGGAGAGCGCAAATTGAAGTCACGAGATGGGACCATAGTGCTTAGTGGTGGGATATTAGATGTACAATCGGACTAATTTCAAGAAAATGACAAAATTTCTCCAAGAGTTATTGATGTTTCATCTAATGAAGAGAGCATCCTTTCATCACGGAGGAAGATGTGAATTTCCTATTTTGATACCACTTTCTTATTAACATTCACAACATTCACAGACATTTCATACTATTCCGTATTTTATTTTTATCAACGTGAAAAAAGGGGTATCGATTGAAATATCATTCCTTAATTCATATTTCCACTTTTCGTCTAAATAAAAAAATCGAGCTTTCTACAATTTTAAAAATCAATAAAATCAACACAATTTTTTAGAATTTTCATATCAAATCAAACGTGGAACGTTTTTGGGGGCAAGGGAGGAAGTGCTAAAAATGTACATGTGCACATGAGCATAGTCATCCCTATCGGCTATCGCGGTATAAACACTGTTTCCGGGTAAAATCTAGGTTTTCATCCCCGTTTGAACTCTGAACCTGCCCTTTCTCGCCGATATATAGCCATAGCCAATCCATATAGGGTTCAGTCGAACCCTCTGGTACGCCCTCCCTCCATTGCAGTCTCTCTGATCGTCTCCCTGCCGAAACCCTAATTTCTCTCTGCACTGCCAATGCCATCGCACCCTTCTTCTTCTTCTCATTGCTTATTTCTTCGTCAGTAGGATACGCATTCGGTTTTGTTTGCTCGGAATCGGAAGATGGACATTGAAGAGAGGCAAGCGGAGCACATAGAGTACTTCGTGAAGCAAGCGTCCGCCCTCAAAGGCCCCGCGCTGGCCTCCGTAGTCGTGGAGGCCACTTCTCATCCATCGCTTTTTGCCTTCTCGGAGATTCTCGCCGTTGGCAACGTTCTAGAGGTTTGCAGCGGTCATACTCATGGCCTGTTAATAATTTTGTGATGGTGGATACATGCAGAATACATGGCCGGTTTCAATTTTATGATGATATTATGTAGTTCACTGTGATATGTGCCATGGCTCCGCTAACATTACTGGGTTGTTCTGGTTTTAGCTTTGCTAATTGCTGGTTCATTGTTGGTGAATTTTACATGCAGCTTGAAGGAACTGAGAGTTCTGTTTACCTCGAATTGCTTCGCACTTTTGCCCATGGAACATGGACCGAGTACAAAAGTAAGTGTTTCTCTTCACTATTTAAGGGTTCTGGTTTGACATCAGCTCACTCCATGGATTTACTCTTTTTTTTTATAGCCTATACAGTTCTTGATTTATTAGGGAAGGGAAGTTGAAGTTTGGGGTATAACAACTTAACAACAACAACAACAACACCATAAGATTTTTGTATTTTGGTTGCTTATTGACTTTAATAGGCTTCTTTAAGCACTATTATCTTCATCTTATTTGGGTGTATTATGTATACTCAAAACAAATTTTCATTCCACACCTCTTTCTTAGTAAGATCATATGAAAGAATCATGTCTTCCCAAATCACGTGTAAATTGACATCTAGAAATACTGCATATTTGTTGGCTTTATGGAGCATTATAATTTTGTGTGTGCATACCTGCAAGGTACTTGTGGTGTTTGTTCTTTTACTCTTTTACCATAGTGTTTAAAGAAATGAACCAGGAATTACCAAATTATATATCTAAAGAAAGAGAGCTAGATAGTTTGCTCTGGAACTCACATGTATATGCATTAACCTTGAACTCATGCATTTCTATTGGCTTCATCCAATAGTTCTAACTGTTGTGGGATGAGGGATTTGTTTCTTGTTGCAATCCTACATTTCAGAAGTTTGAAGTCTTCGTTATTCTATTTTCTCTAGTATATTTGTGTGTATGTTTAAGTGAAAACTGAAAAGCATTTGTCAGTAATCAGTATGCCTGTTTAAGTTGCTCATTGTGCTGGATTTGTTGAATCTTTCTTGCAGATTAATCATGGTTTTGCTCCTTCACTCAAAGTTTATTGATCTTTCAGGTATTTCTGAAAGGCTTCCTCAAATGGTGCCCGATCAAGTGCTCAAGTTGAAGCAACTAACTGTGCTTACACTGGCTGAGTCTACCAAGGTATATTTTATTCCACTTTGTTCCTTTATGATGATAACATAACCTTGGAGGAACAATTTTTTGTGACAAAGTGATCTTGTTTTTTCTTCCGATTTAATGATATTTTTGTTTGTTTATCTGTTATCAATGTTAGGTGGGTTTATATCCATAGTGCTCATTATGAGATACTGCTATCCAATTTACATTGCTCTTTTAGCAAACACTGGTCTGAATATTCAAGTGCATATTA